TCATCTCATTTCTCTATGGAGGTGATAACACAACTAAGATTGATAGAACCTTAAATACTGCAGCATGGGCTACTATTATGACAGTAGATGAGACTTCAACGTATGTACTCCTGTGGTTTAAGTGGGGGTAGACAGGTTAAACCCAATATGACAAATACAGCATACACATCCCAGAATAACTGCGAGGAGTTGGCACCAGCACTCCATACAGGCTGTCCACCCTCATCCTGCAGCCCTGGGGGAACCCAGGAGAACTTCTAGCTTCTGGCAAGGGGGAGGGAGAACAACTGTCTGTGTAACAGCCAGTTGATACAAAGCACTTGTGGAGGAGTAAAGAGGAAGTGGTGGCAGGAATAAGGGGAGAGGATTGGAAGCCTTTGGGAGATCTGAAAGAAGGCACAGAAACCTTGAAGGAAAAGGAGATGTGGGGGAAGCAATGGAGGTGTGGGACTCCCTGTTTTTCACCTTTGAGGTGGTGGAAAGTAGCTGGTAACTGAAGTCCTATGAATAAGTCTCTGAACCTGCCCAGCTGGCAGAGGAATAGGACTTGGTCAAGGGGCCCTAATCCAGGAACCTTTAGGGAGATCCTGGTCTCTGTAGCCTCGGTATTCACACAGGCAAATAAGAGGAGCAGTGCCCACTCCTATCCAGCTGTGGTGCTGGCAGCACAACTGCCAACATAAGAGACACAGAAGACTCCAGGAAGAGCAAGTAAGCCCAGCCAGATACCTCTCAGCAGGTTGTATCCATCCTTGAGAGGACTTTAGTTGGGGCCAAAACTTATTCTTCTCTCCCATTTCGTGGTGCCAGGATTGTCAGGCCCCCCAATGAGATTAACTGGGTTTCCTCTCCAAAAAATACTTGGGAGATGAACTCAGTTCCCTCAAGAACATAATGGAGGGAGTTAACATTTCAACTCTTGTTTCTGCTGTTGACTGTGTTAATAAAGACTGTTATTGATCATACTCATAACCTGCAGCCAATTGATTTATTGACAGGGAATCCAGTGGCTGCTGGTACTTGCCAATGTTGGGGCCAGCAATGCTCAAACTGGTTTTAATAATACATATCAACATTAATTAAGAAAAAAGATTGGAAACCATGTTACCATCACTTCTGATCTCTATACTGTACTAGGAAAACACAGCTATCTTTTAACACCTATGTGCAAACAACACAGATGTTAGGCCACAGTTTTTAACTACATTCTTTGCTATACAGTTGCGCCTCGCTTAATGGGTGCCCCGTTTAATGACAAAATCGCATATCGACGAACTTTTTGCGATCGCAATGTTTTAAATGGGGAAAAATTGCTTTGCGATGATCAGTACAGTTTCGCTTACCGATCATCGCAAACCGATGATTTTTAAACAGCTGATTGGCGGTTCAAAAATGGCCGCTGGGTAAAAAAATGGCCTCCCGCTGTTTTCTGGGATAGATTCCTCGCTTACCGGGCAGCGAAAATGGCTGCCGTATGGATGATTTTCGCTTAAAGGGGAGTCTGAATCCCATAGGAACGCATTGAAGGGGTTTCAATGCATTCCTATGGGCTTTTTAATATCGCATAGAGACCGATTATCGTCACTATGCGAGGCACCACTGTACCAACAATATACAACAAACCTGATCGGTGGAATTAAATTTGCTGCAACCATGATATATTAAATTATGAATTCTAAATGATGAAGATTACTTTGGGATCCCTTTAGAATTAATGTTTTGAACTATTTAACTGGATAAAACACTGCAGATGAAGGAGGCAGTCAAAAGTGACTGAAAATAAAACTTTCAACATACTGAAAAAATATCCCATTTATTTTTAAACAGAATTATGCAGGCATACATTACAATTTCATGCTAAATGGGATAGTTTAGAAGAAGCATGTAACATTAGTCACTGCCAATTGTTTAACTGAACTTACTCAGCATCCTGCAACAATGTCCAATAGGCCAGGAACAGTTTACCTTTACCTACTGGATGTTTTTCTCTACCTTCCTGACTCACTGTCCAGACTGATTTTGGAGGTGCCTCTCTAAATGTCACACAATGAGGTGACAGGTATTAACAGGGAAGCCACCTGCAATAGGTGCAGTCAATGAAATGTCTGGAGTCTCATTACATACTTTCAATGGAACTAAGATCTTTCTCTTTCAACAGGTAGTTAAGATTTTATTTGTTGTTTTTATGATCAGTTCTATTACTACCTGTTTAGTATCTTAACCATGTTAAAGTGATAAGCACACATTAACTTTTATTAGAGAATATTTCGATATACCATACAATGAGGTAGATGAAAACAGAGAACAGGTCCTAGCCAAAAGGCTGAGAGTATAGCTTATTCTGCTATATTTCACATCCATGAATAAGTTTTTGTGTTTTTCCCTTTGGATTTTGCCAGATATGTATAAACATGTGTTCAGTTTTCCTTTGTTGTTTAGTCACTAAGTTGTGTCCGACTCTTCGTGACCCCATGGACCAGAGCATGCCAGGCCCTCCTGTCTTCCACTGCCTCCTGGAGTTGGGTCAAATTCATGTTGGTAGCTTCAATGACACTGTCCATCCATCTCGTCCTCTGTTGTCCCCTTCTCCTCTTGCCTTCACACTTTCCTAACATCAGGGTCTTTTCCAGGGAGTCTTCTTTTCTCATGAGATGGCCAAAGTACTGGAGCCTCAGCTTCAGGATCTGTCCTTCCAGTGAGTACTCAGGGTTGATTTCCTTCAAAATGGATAGGTTTGTTTTCTTTGCAGTCTCCAGGTGACTCTCAAGAGTCTCCTCCAGCACCACAACCAGTTTTCCTACACAGTCCTTAAAGCCCATATAAAACAACTTTAGTTGTAGCTTTGCAATACATATAGTCTCAGTAAGACTTCTTTGTATGATGCAAGAAATAAGGTGTTATACAAGAGTAACTCTTTGAATATGATGACCTCTGGTTATAATACTTCTTTTGCCAGGAAGTAAATCAGGCAAGTGTATGTCCTGTGGGCTAAATTCAATTTATTCTCAACCAAAATCCATGGGACTTATACTAGTCTAACAAGATCTACTCATTTCAATCACTCTACTGTAGTTGGACCTAAAACTGGATTTGTTCTTGTGTTCCAACCATTCATAAAATGAAGTTAACAAAAACACTGATCTTAGAAGTAATTGATTTAAGAACATTTAATGGCATCTAATCTTATTTTCAATATGTCACTTTTTTTGGAAGAAGAATGGGTTTTTTCCTATAAATTAGAAATGTTTTTAAAGATTTACCAGAGGTAAAATATGTTCCCCAGAACATTTCAAAATAATTCTCCCTATACTTTATAGTCCAGATGTCTTAGTGAATATACTGGTATCTCTAAACATAGGTGTGTGTACAGTTGTAACTAAACCTCTAAATTTCAATGCAACTGCCACAAAAAGAGGAAAATCTATTCAAAACCAGGAAGTTCAGCACATTTACACAGGCAACTTGTAATTCAAGTCTAGTGGCCAAACTAGGTAACAATTCAATGCATAAACCATCCTGAGGTTCAGAGCTAGAATTCTAGTCTACTAGGATTACTATAGTATACTAAAGACAGTTAACATCTCATTATGAAAATATAGCCTTAAAAAGGGACATTTAAGTTGATACATTAGTAGGGAAAAGATTGTGATTAACTTTCTCACTAAAATCAATAAGGCTTCCCAAGCAGTATTTGTACATCTTACCCAGTTCCCTAATCTCAGTTGAATATTAGTACCACACACTGTAAAGGGCTGCAATATGAAAGGTACTTTATCTTGACAGGACAATGCTCAAAGCTTTTAATGATAGCTTAGTGTGTATCTTTGCAGAAGGCATAAAAAAGCACACACAATGTCATAATTTTTCAAGGCTGTACAGATGTTAAGTGTGACATAATACCAGAGGTAAAAAGATGTCAAAACCTCATGACAGTAATAATGAAAAAGGCTAGAATTGACACTATGCTTTCTATTGTTCATCAGTGTTTTCCACTGTTTTGTCAAGTTACAAGCTTTGAATAACACTATTTAAGCATCTGATGGACAGCTATTATTATACTAATGCCTTTGTCACAAATTACTGATTTCCTGTTATGCACAGCCATAAAAAACATTTCATGCTAAAAGTGAAGTCGTCTTGAAAGCTCAAACACAAATACAAAGCATGAATAGCACCTGAATAACACCAGAAACAGAGATTTTTTTCTTCAAACAGAACTTGCAAGAAAGTATCATGTCCTCTAACCTTATATATAAAAAAGAAAACATGTTTCTATTTGATACATAGAAATCAAGCTAACTACATCAGACTTTAGATATAATTTACATACCAATACTTGTATGTCTGTAAATATATCTATAGATGGTAACCTCTCAAGTCCCTTTATACAGATTACAAAATCTGTCCAGAACATAGCTATGAAGCTTTACTATTTATTTTATTTATTTATTTACTAACATGAGATGTTCAATATCAACCAAAAGAGAGACTGGAACAAGAACAGTATGTTCTCTGTCAGAAAATATGAAGACCTGTTGTCTCCCAAGATATTACAAAAAAAAGAAATAAAGAAAAAAGAAATGTGTTGGGGTTTAAACATATTAAACATGCTTTCACTAGAGCTAAGTGATAAAAAGGATGAAAAAAAAGGAAGAAAATTGTAAGGAACCAGCTTTAAGTATGGAACCAAGAACTGAAAAACAGCTATTCTGTTTCTTTTGCTCTCTAAAATCTCAGGTGACAGGAAGTATAACAACAAAATGAAACAAGAAACAATGAACTCAAATACACCAACAGAGGGGGGCGGAGGTGGTTCTCCTTCTAGGTCAATCTTGCTACAAGGAAGTAGACTCTCCCAGGAAGGTTATGCCATAGCAAACATTTTAAACTTTAAGGTGCTGTAAGACTTCTTAATAGTTTTTTCCCCTCCTTCAGCACAAACAAACAGAGCTAACTCTCTGAAATCAGTTTCTGGCTAAATTTCTGATAAAAGAACTTACCATATCAGATGGAACACTGCTGGACATCTTGATTGTACCCTGGTGGTTTCCAAAGACAGAGAATCAAAAATGTTTAAAAGCCAGACAGCAAAAAGGTCTTCCAGCTAAACAATCTTTGGTGTGTGTCTATTTTAAGTTCTAAGGTTTCTTTTCCTCCAGCTGTTTCAGCGCTGTTTAAAAAAAGAAAACAGTAGATGGAAAGGGAGGATAAAAATCCAAGAGGAACTGGTGTTAAAGACTTGACCGGAGAGGAAAGTCCAGGGAAACCACAGATGGCAGCAGATCCTTGTCAGTAGCAGCAATAACACCAGTGGTGTCAGGTAGATCCGGCAGAAATGTACAAGGGCATGAATTGTGTACAGGCTTTTTTCTCTCTCTTCCTCTCCAGCCTAGACCAATTATGAATGACGAAGATGATTCAGAGGATACTTCTGCGTCCGAGTCACCTCATTAAAATAAGAAGCAGCAGCGACAGGCACTCAAGCTGAGAAGTAAACCGGTCTTTCTCTGGGGTCGAAGTTATCTGCGGGGCAGGGAGGGGGGTTGTTTTGTGTCCCCCCCCTCCTTCCAGTAGACCTCACAAAGTAAAGATAGTGATGCAGACAACGGGTGAAGTGCTAGGAGGTGGGGTCCTTCTCGCCCCCTGACAAGTCCTTCCAAGGTTGTTGTTTTTAAATATATATATATTGATGATGTTTAGCCTAAGAAGATGAAGACGAAGAAGCTGGAGGGGAAACGGGGGCCGCACAAAAGAAATGACACCCTTCCCCCCTCAAACTGCAGCAGCAGCAGCAGCTCAAGGGGGGATTTAAACTGCAGTGGCCTCTCGCCGCGGCAGCCGCGCTCACCGCCCCCTCCGCCTCGGCTTCCTCAGGTCTCCGCTCTCATCGCCGCCGCCGCCGCCGCCCGCTCCTTCTCCGCCTCTTGCTCCCCTTCCTCCAGGGGCTCCCTCAGCAGCAGCCGGCAGTTAGCGAAGCCCCCCTCACAGCTGGCGCGGCGGCGCTCCTTGCCCTTTCCTCGCCTCTCTTGAGTGGAATTGGGGGGAGGGACGGCGGAGAGGAGACAGACGGAAAACAAGACGTCAGGGAGGAAAGAGAGAAACTGGGGTTTTCTTGCTCCCTCCCTCAACGGGAGCCGCGTCCCGTTTCTCTTCGCCGCCCGCCACCGCCGCTACTCCTCCTGCAGCCACCGCTCGTCATCTTCCTTTCAAGCCAACATGGCGTCTGCGCCGAGCTGAGAAAAGGGGACACGGCAGGGGAAAGACGGGCCCGACACCCCCACTCCCTCTTGGCTCCTCCCCTTTCTCCTTTGTGGAGACGCGTCGCGCGCGGCCCCGCCTACAGGACGGGCACGCCGCTCGCGCGGCATCGTGGGACTGGTAGTTTTAAGGCGTAAGAGCCCCGCCGGCACCCCTCCGCCATCACACACACACACCCGCCCCGGCTCTCAGAAGAGAGCTGTGACGTAACCTTTGCCTTGGCAGCTGCTTGTTGTGGTAACAGCCCCGCCTTCGGCAACTGTTGCTAAGGGCTGGGAAATTCCCTGCTGCCGAAAAGACAACTGTACTCTGTGAGGGGGGCTGAGGGGGCTTAACGCGGCTAGGGAGGACTCTCCCTTTCTCTCGCATCCCGAGCCCCGTGGAGGCTTATCCCGCATTTTTTTTTACCTCAGAATAGCATCCCTTTTAAATTGGCAAGGCACAGCTATTAACATAAGTCTTTTTGGCAAAGACGATGAAGGACTATAAAGGACGGGAAAGCAAGAATACTTCAGTTTCAGCCAGATGGCCGCTTAGCAGTAAAACCTTCTCCAGCTTAACTGGTTTGTGGATTGCCCGCAACCTATAAAAGGGAGGACCCAGAAGGGGAAAGAAGGAACTGCTCAAGGGTGAAAGAGGGCGAAACAAATTGCCCTTCCGCCATCCAAATGAACTGATCTAATTAGCGTAGATGTGAGAAAATAGATAAATCAATATCATGCAAATACTGTACGTTCGGATGTTTATTTTAAAAGCATGTAAAAATACTGGACTTCTGGTGATTGCCAGACTCTGTGTTATTTTATTTGTTTGTCTGAGTATTTCTAAAGCATAGAAACAAAGAAAACTGACACACACACACTCACAAAGAGAGAGAGAGAGAGAAGAAAAGTGCAGCAATAACAACAAAAAAGCTGGCTTGATTTCTTCTCAGTCTTTTAATATGATGTATGAGTTGGCTGGATAGCTCGATGGTGTATCTGGCTGTGGAGCCAAAGGCTGGGAGTTTAAGTCCCCGCTGTGCCTCCCAGAAGAAGAGCCAACCTGTGTTGCCTTGGGGAAACTGCCCAGCCCCAGGGGGCCCCCAGAAGAAGGGAATGGTAAACCATTTCTGAATACTTGCTAGCTAGAAAACCTTTAAAAGGTTTTCTAGCTAGCAGGTCAGAATTGACTTGATGGCATACAGTTATTATTAATAACAAGCATGACAAAGCAACATAACCACAAATTCTGGACTATCAAACCAGTTGTTGAGAAGATCGAAGCATCAAGGAATGCCTGAGTATAGTTCTTCATCATGGATACAAGCAACATCTGTTCTCATAAAGTGAGCCCGAACTTCAGATACAGGATGTCTGTTGGCAACCTGTTTTCATGCTATTCTGCTTTTTGAATGTGGGTCTGAAATCTGCGTCATCAGGGAGGGTGGAAATAATTCTGTCCTTCAAAAGTGATACAATATGCCTTTGTCTATTACATGGACAGATGCTGCACATAAAGGTTTTGATTGTGTTTCCTGTTTCCTGAGTTACACAAATCTACTAGTCTAGGCTCTACAAACCATTTGGACAAAAAGAAGAACCCTGAAGAATGAAGAAAGAAAAAGAATTAACATAGATTAACTATTTACTGCCATGAGTCACCTATTCATTGCCATGAGAAGGCTATATATTACTCAAAGAGTCCAATATACCAATTGAGAAATATGACAATGATGACCAAGGCTGGCCCGACTACTGCAATTGGGATAACCACCTCATATGGAAAGCAGGGAATAAAATAAAGGTGCTGGAGGACATTCCCTATTTTAGCAGAAATGTTGAATACTTGTTATTACTTTAAGTCAGAATACACTAATTTAGGCTATCCATCTCAGGACACATTTTCCCTCTATCAAAACAGTGTTTTATCAGTTTTGGTAAGCCTTCATCTGGATGAGAGTACATTGGAGATTTGCATTGTCTCTGTACAGTATTTGTGTGTTATTTAGAGCAGAGGTCCCTTGGTCTGCGGCCTGGTGCCGGTTCATTGCCTGAGCCGAACCTGGCCACCGAAACAGACCTCCTGCCCCACCCCCGCATGCATTCACACTCACACGGTCCGTTTGCACCTGCACACACGCTCCAGCATGCACGTGCACGCTTGCATGCATGCACAAATGGTGGTGCAGCACCCACACGGGCACACTCGTGCGAGAGAGCATGTGCGCTTGTTCACGAATGCACCTTCCCCAGCCGGTCTGCGGAAAAACGTTGTGGACCGCTGATTTAGAGCAAGTGATAATATCCTTTTAACATAATCTTACCAACCAATCTGGAATCCATCATGCCATAACTAGGAAATCACTATAACGTGGGACAGATTTCTCTAAAAACCATGCCAACAGTGGCAGAGTTTGACTAGTTCCTCTGCAGGCCTTGGGTTTTGAACTGGAAGGGTTGGGATTTGAAGTTCAATGGATGCTCATTTTGAGAAAAAAAAACCTGATTTATTTCATTCACATCAATTCACATTTACTTTATGTTGGAATAGAGCTCCAATTTCCATATTTCTTCACACTGTCTACATCCCTGGTTGAATGAGAATTGTTTATAAATTCTTCTGTTTATTTGGCTAAAGAGGCCATGTGATACATGGGTACCATTTCCCCTTGTACAGAAAAGTCTTAGCAACCATTAGGCCATGGCCTATATGTAACAGGACAATAGTTTAGTGTTTGCTGAGATATGGGAACACCAGAGTTTTCATTCCTTTACATTTATTACTATAGATACCAGCGACAATCAACAAAGATGAATGTTGTTACTATATGAAGCACTGAATAAACCCATTTTACTTTACTGAATAGTATGCTTTCTTTAGGATTTTTTTAAAATAGGGAGAAGAAATAGAGAAAAGGAGAAGACTAGAAAGGGCTGTGGAGAGAAGTCACATAAATTAAATATACATCATTACAAAGAGAGAAGTAACTAAAACAACCAAGCTCTAACTATTCTGGTAGAATTCTCTTTAAGATTCCAGGACTGATGCAATATAAGTACCACATAAAATCAGATTTAATTTTAAGTTTTGCGCTTATTTCTATACTAGCTTTACATGTACTGTACTTAAACATGTTCCTTCAATCATAAAGTAAATATTTAAAGAAAAAAGCATCAGCTAATTGATGTAAAATCAACAAAGAATTAACAGATTTCAGAAATAACTAGGTTAAACACACACAGAGAGAGAGAGAGCATGAGCTGACCAAAATCTCGTTTTAACTAGTAACAGCCAAGGTGTATAATTTATAAGCCCATAAACTTAATTATAATCCATGCTGAGTCAAAATTAAACAAAAGATCAATTCTATGCACACCCACCTATGTCAGCAGTCTTTTCTCACTGATAGTATATCTGAATGTCGCAGAGGGTACTCCTACATAAACCATTTAATGAGAAACATGAGCATAAATATTTGTCTACACCAGGCTCCTAGATTGGACTCTCTTTTATTCTTAGTCTGAACATGTTTTCTTAAATGATAACAAGAATCCTATTTTTTTAAGTTCACACCTTTTGTATCATTCCTTTGTTTGACAGCCTGTTGTTAACTGTGTATGTGCTAGCAATACAGTTATATGTACAAAAAGAGTAATTATTTTGAGGGATATGTTAGAAATAATAAATTGGAGAAGGTTTAGGTCCTAAACTTTAGGAGATTATAATGTTCATAAACAAGCATCAGTTGATATAAGTGGGGCTATGGAAGCTGTAACCAACATGATCACAATTCCCTAGCCAGTTGCTCCAGGTTTGCACAGCTTGTAGATGGAGAATAATAATTTCATTTCCAGTCATTTTAAAAACAAATGTTCAAAATTTTCTTCATAGTCAGGTAGAAAAAAATATAAGAACTTAAAGCCCGTGGTTTCACCCATCAAGTTCTAGGTTTTTGAGTGCTTAATGCATACAAATCTGAAATTGAATTCTTGTGTATTCAACAATTTTAAGTGCTGAATTGGGGTTATCATATCATAATTGTTTTCCTTATAAGTCTCTATATATCTTTAAAACCTTCAGGTGAGATTATGCTTTGTGGTAGTTATGATATAGGCACTATGGTGGACTTAGCTATACCAGGTGAATGCAAATAAGGAAGAATTTCGTTTTAGTTCTTTTTGCAACAGTTTACCAAAATTTTAAAAACTGGGACAGAAAGAATTTGAGATTTGAACTGAGAGAAAGGAAAACTGATGACTCTTCCTTTCTTTGCTTACTAGGGAAGGGGGCATTAGGCATAGCTTAATTTATAGTCAAAGAGGTTTCTTCAAGTGGTCCTCTGTGAATCATGGATTCTGTGCACCACGGGGAAACGCCCTATTAATCACATGTTTTAAGCTCTAGAAGATTCCGAGGAGTCCTGCGTAGACGCAGTCTAACCCATTTGTGCGTATTCACAGAGGCCACGAAGAAGAACCTTTGGCCTTCGTAATAATGTGCTACACAGGGATGTTGGCAAATCTTTTGGTCCGAGTTCCAAGTCCAAGTCTTTGGTACCAAGTCCTAAGCCCCAAAAGGGACGGGGTGTAGCTGTGGGCTAAACCGCAGAAGCCTGTGCTGCAAGGTCAGAAGACCAGCAGTCATAAGATCAAATCCACGCAACGGAGTGAGCTCCCATCGCTTTGTCCCAGCTCCTCGCCAACCTAGCAGTTCGAAAGCATGTAAATGCGAGTAGATAAATAGGTACCATCTCGGTGGGAAGGTAGAATGGTGTTCCCTAGTCACACTGGCCACGTGACAATGGAAACTGTCTTTGGACAGGCGCTGGCTCTATGGCTTGAAAAGCGGGATGAGCGCCCCCCCCTAAAGTCGGACACGACTGGACTGAAAATGTCAAGGGGAACCTTTACCTTATACCTAAGCCCCAAGCCCCTATTTAAACAAGCTATTTTTCCCCAGAAAAAATGGAGGGAAAATGAGTGGGTTCTGAGTCACAAGTCGAGTTCATGTTATGAGGAAAACAAACCCGTGCTGAGTCCGAGTCAAGTCACCAGTTCAACTTAAGTTTGATTTGACAGT